CTCTCTCTCTCTCTCTCTCTCTCTCTCTCTCTCTCTCTCTCTCTCTCACTCTCTTTCTTTATCTATGCGATGCTGAAAATAATGTGATAGCCTACAGTAAAACATAAAGAACAAATGCATACAAATGTGAAATCATGCAAATTGACGTTATGCCGCATTCTGAAATGTCCTTATCCATTTGTGGAAGAGATGTGCAAACGTTGCATTGCACCATTCTGCTCGAAAACAAACGAGCACAACATGGAAACGTGAGATGAGAGATGGAGAAGGAAACCGAGAGAGGCCACCATACCTTCAACCGGGATGCAGCGATGTTGGATTTCATTAAAACTGCTCCTCGTCTGTTTACAATTACGATATTGCTCCAGACAAATAGTCCCCGTCTGAATGAATCTGTGCGTCTGCCGTTGAGGACAACAACGGGTGAAGGGAGGCGGGGAGAGCCCTCGAGCTATCCTCGCCAAAATAATCCTGGTCCACGCGGCATCCGATACCCGGTGCAAAATTACGCAAAAAAAAGAATTACGTAAAGTGCAGCGACCGCGCGTCCTTTTAACTGCTGATAACCACCGATAATCAACTGTCTCTGCTCTCAACTGAGCATGTTGCCCTGCACGCACACGAACGCACATCCGTCCTCTGCGGATAATTGGCGCATTTCGAGCAGATCCGGCTCCTGTCTCGTCTCATTAGCAGCCATGGAGATAATTAAGAATGAGCAGTCTGTAGCTGGCAAGCTTCCCCGTGGATCCTCGCAGGCCTGCTGCTATCTTCGTGAAGTGCTGCAGGGATTGACGTGTTATCGAGGTGGTGCGCTCAAACACAGAAGGCGCAGTTTACGGAAAGTGGCCGCACCGAAGACGCGCCGCGGAGGACGCACTACTGAAAACCCACGAGAGGCCCGAAATGGAAAAGTCAAACCGGCCATGAACATGTTATTCATTGTCCACTATAATGGCTGTATAGCTTTAGGGTGATCTATGCTCACATCACCATCATCATTAGTCTGTGATGATCAACTCTGCCGAGGAGCAAAGGTTATTGATTCAGTACAACAACCTAATATATACTCCCAAGATAAATAAATCATCTTTCCCCTCTTAGTACCGTCCTGTTAATCTTCTCCTTTTTGGTCTGATATTAATTAAGACTTCACTGCAGTGTCAATGTCAGCCAAAAGTGATGCAACGAAAACGATTTCTGTCATATATATTCGTGGCATGAGACAAACATTGAATGTTCTTGTATACCTGTCAGATAAAATAAGACATAGAGTTCACCTACATGTGGCTGAATGTCGCCATGCTAAGCAGTGACACATTTCTCTCTCCTCATCACAGTCCATCTTCACACTACCATCTGACAGCTGATTATGTTAGCAATCACTACATGTTCTGACTACTGCCATTATTTTCCTTTTGTCATACACAGGCTTTCATAGACTGGACTATCTTTGGTGTGTTAATTATCCCAGGACTCAGAATGAGTAATACATGTAGAATTGTGGTCAGTTCTGTGATTGATAAATTTGTGATTCAGCTGCAGTTAAGTCATTCTGTATTTCAACGTATCGTAAATTGAAATGTACACAAAAAGCAGTCAACTTGACTGGACCAGTCTTTGAGGGCCTTTATAACAGAAGAGACACTCCTTTAATTGTACTATTGCTGTGGGTATTTAGTTGTTGATTAGCCCAGGTAACATATACTGGTTTTACTACTTACATCAGAACATTATTTTATGCATGATAGTTTGAGTTAGGCAGGCAGCCATCAACCTGTCCAGCTTTCCCGGAAAAATATTCACACATTCCCTGTTCTGTTCTCGCTCAGTGTGCAGACTCTATTTATGTATTTGATTGAGTTTGTTTATGAGTGCCGACTAAGCGGGGAAAACCGTGTCTTTTTTTTTTTTTTTACTCAAGTGAATCTGCCCACATGCTGTCTTTTGAGATTTCTTTGGGTTTTCCTCAATACACAGATCTGCTGCAGCGAGCCTGGTTTAGGCAAAGCTGTGAGAACCCGTGCATTGCCAATAAGCTGCTACACCAATGTAGCCTCCTACTCAAAATGCCACCAGAAATCATTTAATAAATGAATATTATAGCAACAGGGGACACAGGGTAATTCTAATGTCATATGAAATATGACCTCATTATAACACATATGAATGTGTGAGACCCTCTTCTGATGAAGTAGATAGACGTATCAGGATAGAGCACCATATAATGAGAACTGTGGCCCCCTGGAATTGTCTCAATATCGGTCAAATGCTGAAATTGGGGTTACTCTCAATTTTGTCCCATTTTGCTGATTTGATCCCAAGTTCAAACTCATTTGACCAAGAGCAGAGTTATCAATTGGAGGACCACATAGGATACTGTGACATTATGTGCTTTTCTGTGCTTTGAATGTCAACTTGTATTTTATCCGTTTTGCCGACACTAGGCTCAAGCCTTTTTTTTGGCTTGGTGCAAGGCTGGACCCCATCCTAGTGAGACAAACGAGCATAGCAGAGTAGATATAATTTCAGAAACTCTATTGGAGCTGGAGTTGCCTTGAAACGATGTGCTTTGGCAGGTGAAACAAACAGATTTGAAGCAGACTGAACTGCAGGCTGACTTCCCGCATGATTTGTTTTAAGGAAATTGAGTGCCAAATAAATTCTCTGCAAGATAAATCCTTTGAAACAGATTTAACTTGTTTCCCTCTGAAAACAAACACTGTTTAGTTGGTTAACTTTTTCATATGTTGGACTCTGACATAACTTCAAAAGTAAAGTGGGACAAAAATGGACTGATATGATATTAATTCTCAGAAATGAATTCCATTAATTACATCAATATACTTGCTGGAGACATCTTGATTCTTTCTCAATAGGCCTCCAGTTAAATGCCAGGAAATACAGGTGTGAGCCGACTAAACATAGCGAGAAACCCCTATCTGACCGGAGCACTGTAGCACTGTGACTCTTGTGAGATGTAGCTGAAAGTGATTAATGTTCGACTCCACTTCCTGCTGTGATAGGGATAGTGTTGCCTGGCAACTGTCTGCAGCATTCCGTTGACTGTTTTGGCTCCGTGGCAGATCTGAGGTGGCTTTCCTTCTCTCGTTTATCTCTGTGTACCTGCTCAGATCGGGTTTCTAGCACAGATCGATCCCTGCAAAAATAAAAAGAACGCAGTGCCTCTCCATGAGCACAGGGGCAAACATCTGCTCCCAATTTTACTCTCTATTCCATAATTCATGGGCATATATTGAAATATTTAAGGATGAGACAGAACATCTGTCTTTCTCTGCATAGCTACAGTCAGACAGAAATCCCTGACTGTGGCTCCATCACTTATTAATCGTTAAGGGGTGGCATCATTGTTAAGTGACTATGGGCCTTGTAACCAGCACTTTAGCGTCTGAGATGGCGCGATCATATTTCACAAATGATAACACGAGGAGTTACAAGATATTTTGCATTCTGAAAGCTATTGGCTCGTTCTAGGCCTGAGAGGATTATTGGCACAATCTCCTGATCACACTGATGTAAATGATGTTTACATACAGCCGGCTCTTTCTGTGCGCCACCTGGCCTCTCTGCTGACATGGTAAACACACACTCTTGTCTCCGAGCCGACAGCAACATCACCTACACAACTGTCTGGATGCAACTAGACTCCGTGCTGGCCGTGCACGTTACACCTGCAGCTGCGTCCACGACATGGCACGAAACAGAGAAAGGTTTGTTCTTGCCCACAGTTAGTTATGATCGCTGTTGTTGTCTCAGTGCATTTGGGTGAACATATCTTTTTAAACATGCAATAAAAACAGCATTTGCATATAAACACTTTTTAAGTTGATATGATGAAAGCAAAATGATCATTCATTTGGAGTCGTGTTTACGGCCACCTGGCCAATATAAGGTCAATATTCATTCTTCTAATAGCTCTGTTTTTGGTCTCTTTTCGCTAGTTGTGGTGGACGTTCGAATGCTTGCAAGGTGGCAGGTAGCCTGCTTGTTTGCAAACCTGTACAAAACAAACCTTAAACACGTTCAAACAATGTAAGTAACTTTGTGCCATGCAGCACATTGTTTATGTTTGCAAATGCAATCTTGGATGCAAAGGCCATACACAATAAGGGTCTGAGAAACTACAACAATGATCTCCTCAATCCTCCTCCACACACTTTTTTTTTTTTTGCAAATAACGACAATGTTTCCAGGCAAAGTCTGTTCTCATTAGCAAAAAGTATTTTTTTTTCCCGCTGAATGAAAATGACGTTTTTCGTATGACTGGTCAGTACCGCGTCACCTAGAATCCAACAATGCCTTGCGGAGCTAATTACTTGCATCCCATAGCAAACAAGAAAAGAGCACTCGGTAGAGTGCAGATCGCCAGCAGGTGTGAGGAGTTGAATCTCAATCGTCCCCCCAACTCTCCTAACTCAGCTTAATCCTGCTGAAGATAATGAATACGGGGGAACTTTGCCTCACACTGTGTTAACGTGCTGTAGTTATTTTACATCTGGTTTAATCATGCAGGTAAACACTAGGACAGCTTTCACCAAAAACATTGATAATAATCTCTACCTTCTAAATAAATCAGTCAAATTGTCGTGTGTCTGACGCAGGTAAATAAGTGAAGGGTTTGGCTCATCAGGGGTCAGTAGCTTCCCTCTGGCTAAAAAAAGAAGAAGATCTGAGACCTGCAGGAATGGTCTGGAGAGGAAATGAAAAGGTAACCGTGATCTTTGTTTAGCCTGCAGCTGGACTGCTCTTGGTTTCCGTGGCAACACTTTCAGTTTTATGTTTGATCAGACGTGCAGGGATGAAACAAGGTGACTCGACAATCATATCCCAGAGAAAAAGCCCACATGGACGGCAGATGCTTCAATAAAAGCAAAGCTGTTTGTAATCTTGGCACGTCCTATTCTCCCATTGCTTAGCAACAGGCCATACTTTTCGACAGCGGAGACCACTACTCTAGATCACGGAGGAAGGGCTGCAGGTGTCAGCCTACAGTGTGAGCATGAACAATGGGTATAATCAAGAGGCAGGGCACACATTGTTTTCACTCACTAATTAAAGCTGTCACTAAAGTTACAAGCTTTGCTGTAATAACTGGGCATAAGTACTTCTTTCATGTGAAACTGTCAAGCCGTGGACCCGTTACAGCTCTATTTAAAGCTGGGGAAGTATTACAACTGCAATCAGGTGTAGCCTACTGTAGAGAGAGAACAGAACAGAGGATATAATTGAGCTCTGTTGATATTCTGAATGGAGAGAGAGAGTTATTGGAAGACGAGGCATTGCCCAGTCTGTATTTCTAATACCTGTTAATCCGTTCCTCAGGGGAAAGATAAAGGAGTTGATGCATGCTAGCTGTTCCCAAAGGAAACGGATGATTCTCTACTCATTAACTATGTGGGAAAACAACGTTGATCCTCTGTCTTTGCAATAAGAGCCGTGCCCCTGCACTGGGCCAATAAGATGAGGTCCCCAGCAGGAGAAGCCAGGAAAAGACTCTAAATAGTCAGTGACTCACTGCCTTGAAAATGTTTAGCTCCATGTGTCAGACACAAGAATAAAAAAATGGCTTCTTGATCTTGAAGTATGTATGTGCTGCTGGTTTCCACCTGGAGTTCATCCTGTATTTAACACTCAGCCTTGCATGTTTCTTCTGAGTTTTCGCCTCATTTAAAGTTTTTCATTTAGCGTCTCTAACAACTAGGCTCGTCTCTTATTACTTGCTGCTCTTTGAGCCATTTTGAGAGCGTGTCAGAGAGGTGCAGCAAGCGACGCAGCAGCAGTCAACACAGAACCCATTACCTGGCAAAGAGGACTTCCCATCCCTCCCAAATGACTGAGACTGCGCACGCCCCGGAGTCCCTCTCGTTG